GAAGAAGCCGGCCGCAGCCATTGCGACAGCGAAGGCCAAGGGCTCCATGCCGAAGGCCAAGGCCAAGGCCTCCGCCGTGGCGAAGGCGAAGGCGAAGGCATCCCCAGTTGTCATGCCGAAGGCGAAGGCTTCGAGCAACAAGGTTGTGAAGACCATCCGGAAGCGGTCGGGGTGGATCGTGGAGTACCGCAGAAAGAGCACATGCGGCTCCATTTACGGCAAATGGGTGTCGCCAAGCGGAGAGATCTACAAGAGCTGTTCCCAGGCATCCGCTGTTGGCTTCGACGAGGAGCCTCCTCATCATCTAATGCAGGGTTTTCACGGTTTGTTGGTAGTTATTCTGGTATTGTGTCTATATAGCTTCGAACATGTATGGAGGTATAATATATGCACTATTTATGGGTTTCGCTTTGTAAAGGGTTGTGTATTGAAATTGTTGTGCCAGGATGGGCCCAACAAGTGAGCATCCGCCTGATGCATTGTATTTTCCATGTGGATGGGTGCCGTTTTGACACGACCTCCGATGCACCCCTTTTGCAAACAGCATGCATCACTATCGCATCGATGCTCTGTCCGTGCAAAGAGACGACAGTTGTGATGAAGCATACTTTGCCAACGGCTGCATGTGCTATGTACTCACACATATATAGTCGATTAAGATGTAAAGCAACCTGTGACAGGCTCAGTCGCCCATGCTTCGCGACGAGGCAAGATGAGGACGAGTGCTCAACACTGTGAAGGACGATTCTTTGAATGTGCTCATGTGTCCAGTGGTGCATGCAAGGTTGTATATACTCTTGAGATCTGTAAGTACCAGGGTGTACCACAGTGTTCCACGCAGGTCTCATTGGATTGGTTTGAGGGGATTCGTCATACGGGTTATAATAGTTCGGTTGTGTTGTTGATGATGATTCTGATGTTGATGCTGGTGTCCTTGCAACAGGATGATTTTCTTTATGATGTTAGGGCTTAAGGTTTATAGGGTTTAGGGTTTGGTTTAGGGTTTAGGGTTATAAGGTTTGATGTCATTGCATGCATGTAGCGTTTTTTGGTATCATGTCCATGCAGTTCATGTGCTGCAACGAGACGGTGCATTCATGTGTCGGGAAGACCATCGTGGCTGCCGCATGTGTTCAAGCTCCGTGATTTTGTGCATTGCATCAGCACCGCGATTGCTTCTCAGGGTTTATGGGTTTATAAGCTTTGTAAATAGGGTCTATACATAGTACTGTTACAAAGGGCTTTTGTATAGGCCACTGTGGATTCATCGAAAGAGTCGGGCAACACGTAGCACGTCTTTTGGAGGAGCTTTAGCAAATCATCGGTATATATTGAATGAGTTATACGTGTGCTTTTCTAAAGTCACCTCCACTCGCAGGGCACGGCTCGCGAGTCGCAGAAGCAGGGCTTGGCTCGCTTCGTTTTTCCGTGGGCCGACATGTCGTTGGACCTCGCTAAAGTCGGCAGAAAGAGTTTCGTTTCACAGAGTGGATTATCGGAGATTTTGCGAGCAGTGCGAGAAGCCGATTCCTTGCCGGAAGGCATCTCCCCGAGTGCCGTTAAGCGGGCTCGGACGAAAGCGATGTCACCTGACACACCTTATGGTCAGATGTTGAAGGAATGGAAACTGCGAAGCACGACCGGAGAAGAAATGACAGTGGCTTATTTGGACCCGGCAGCCTGTTTGTATCATGCTGTCGACTCTTGCACCAAGTTTGGAGCTTTCGTGCAAGACATCGTGCGGACCAGAGAGCCCAGCATCAACCGGCGATGGCACATAGTGCTGTACAGCGACGAAGTCGCACCGGGCAATCAGTTAAAGCCCGTGAACTCCCGGAAGCTCCAGACTTTCTATTGGAGCTTCCGGGAGTTCGGGGCCAGCTTGTGCCAGGAGGATGCATGGATGGTACTCACGACTGTGAGATCCGATACTGTCAACAAGTTCAAAGATGGATTCACACAGTTGGCTAAACATGCCATGCTGAGCTTCGCAGCTCCACACGGCAACTTCCGGCTTGGCTTGTCGATGGGCCGATTTGTGATGTGTGCCGAACTGGCAACGGTGGTCAGCGATGAAAGTGCTTTAAAGCACACCTTTGAGAACAAAGGCGCCGGTGGCAAGATGCTCTGCCTGCTGTGTCGCAACACTGTACAGCGACGATATGCCAGCTTGCCACTGCATCCCAGCTTAGTGCTGCACACTTGCACGGATTTCAGCAAGTTCAAGCTCCACACGCTGAACTCGGTCACGGCAAGCATTAGGCATTTGGCAGACAAGGTGGGCACCAGCACGAAGAAGGAGTTCGAAGAACTCCAGACCAATCTGGGCTTCAACTACTGCCCTGAGGGTGTGCTTAGTTGCCCGGAGTTGCTGGAGGTCTTCGACCCGACTAAAGGGGCGATGTACGACTGGGCTCACGTTTATCTGGTAGCAGGCCTTTTTCATCTGGAGATGAACCTGCTTATAGCCAAGCTGGTGCAGGCCGGAGTGACCCACGAGCAGATCCAGCGAGGATTGCTCCAGTACAGTTTGCCGTCCCACTTCGCCAGCTTTGGCGCCTTTGTGAAGAACTGCTTCGTGAAGAAGAAAGGCAGCGAGTGGGACTTCAAGTCGTCGGCGAGCGAGGCTTTGACAATCTATCCCATTCTTCGGGACATCCTCGCGAACTTGAGGCCATCATTGTCAGAAGATGCCCGCAATGCCATCCGGTGTTTCCTGTTGCTTTGCACGTGTGTGGACTTGGTGCAGAAGAGCTTGTCGGAAAGGGTTGAGCCGGCAGACTTGCGAAGGGCCATTCAGAGCCATCTGATGGCCTTTTTGCAGGTCTACCCCGAGGAACGATTCATCCCTAAGGGCCATCTGGCCATGCATTTGCCTGCCCAGCTTGAGCATCACGGCCTTCTCATCAGTTGTTTGACTCACGAGCGCCGCCACAAAGAGTTGAAACGTTTCGCAAACAACTTGACCAATGCCCGTCCGGGCACGGAGCGAGGGCTGTTACAGGAGCTGATGCTCACCCATTTGGAGTCGCTGGAGCGGGTGCCTTTGGGGTTTGGGACCGAGCTTCATGCCCCGAAGCCGGCTAGCATGGCCCTGCAAAGGGCATTCGCGAGCTTCTTCGGACTTGTCGAAGCGAAGGGGTTGACCATGGGCTCAAAGGCTCGAGTTCCGAAGGTTCCAGCCGTGGCAACAGGAGACATCATCATCGTGAAGGAGCCGCAAGCTGTTGCTGAGGTCCTATATCATTGCCAGTATAATGACCACGTGTTGACTTGCATTACCCTCTACGAGAGGGGTGCCAAACCCAACCAATTCAAAGAAGTGCATGACAACTGCACATTCGTGAACCCTGATGTCATCATTGGGGCATGCTTTACTCGTCGTTCCGATGACGGCTTTGTCTATGTCGTCCCTCAGCATTTTGCTTTGTGAGAAGATCCGGCCGAACATGCAGAAACAACCGCTCTCACTTACTCTAAAGCTTTGGTGATATCTGAAGGTATCCAGGTCTAAGAGCTTCTGCTCTATAGATGCTATATATGTATAGGCTTTACATTAAACCCCATTTTTATAAACCCTAAATCCTGAACCCTAAACCCTATATAAACCATTGGTCACACTGCTCGTTTGAAGCCTGGAGCTCTGCAAGCTTTAGGTTTAGCTGTATGTTTTAGATTTCGGGTTCATATGCTATAAGCACTTTCGCTCAATGCGTATCTCGTGAATGTTTCATAGAATGTACTTTTTCCTAGCAAGTGGATTGTAAGAAATAGGTCAATCAAAACTTTCGTGCTATCCAAAATATTTAAAAAAAAGCGTTTCCACCACCCGCGAACAAAAGTAATATACACACACAGAAAGTGCACCGGCCCCTGTTGCAGGCAGCCGCAGCTGGCCAGGAGCAGGTCAAAGGGATCTCAGGGTGGATTTGCCGTGTTGAAAGGGGTTGTTTTTAACATATTTTTAAAGAGGGCATGCTGGACTCGAAGGGTTTGGAACCTGTTTTGGGAGGTGTATGTGCAGAGAAAATATGGAAAAAACGATCACTTATAACTAGGTTAATATGTGCCTTAAGTCCACTTAGCACACTTAGCTATAACTGCCATAACTGGGTTGCCTATCTGACCTAAGCTGCTTAGTAAGTGGCTCCGAAACCATCGAAAACCAAGTGGACTAAGCTGACATAGCCTAAGTGGTTTAACCATTTGCAAGTGTATGCTATGCAATTGCTATGTAAGCTATTTGAATACAACCGACCCCGACGATCCAAGCAGCGCCCCAGCCCCCTATAAGCGCCCTCAGCGCCCTCCGCGCCCTCAGCGCCCTCAGCGCGCTCAGCGCCCTCCGCGCCCTCAGCGCTCTGAGCGCCCTGAGCGCCCTCAGCGCCCTCCGCACCCTCCGCGCCCTCCGCGCCCTCATCAGCGCCCTCAGCGCCCTCAGCGCCCTCAGCGCGCTCCGCGCCCTCAGCGCCCTCCGCGCCCTCAGCGCCCTCAGCGCCCTCCGCGCCCTCCGCGCCCTCAGCGCCCTCAGTGCCCTCAGCGCCCCAGCGCCCTATAAGCGCCCTCAGCGCCCTCCGCGCCCTCAGCGCGCGCTCAGCGCCCTCCATGGCACGCCGCGCCCTCACCTCCGCGCCCTCAGCGCCCTCAGCGCCCTCAGCGCCCTCAGCGCCCTCACGCCCTCAGCGTCTCAGCGCCCTCAGCGCCCTATAAGGCCCCCTCAGCGCCCTCCGCGCCCTCAGCGCGCGCTCAGCGCCCTCCGCGCCCTCAGCAGCCGGCCCTCAGCGCTCAGCGTCCGCAGCGCCCTCAGCGCCCTCCGCGCCCTCAGCACCCTCAGCCCTCCGCGGCCTCCGCGCCCGCAGTGCGTCAGAGCCCTCAGGGACCTCAGCGGGCTCCGCGCCCTCAGCGCCCTCAGCGCCCTCCGCGCCCTCAGCGCCCTCCGCGCCCTCAGCGCCCTCAGCGCCCTCCGCGCCCTTAGCGCCCTCAGCGCCCTCCGCGCCCTAGAACCATCCGCGACCTCCGCGACATCAGGCCCTCCTGCGCCATACAGCGCCGCGCCTCAGCATTCCGCGCCCTCAGCGCCCGCAGCGCCCCAGCGCCCTATAAGCGCCCTCAGCGCCTCCGCGCCCTCAGCGCGCTCAGCGCCCTCCGCGCCCTCAGCGCTCTGAGCGCCCTGAGCGCCCTCAGCGCCCTCCGCACCGCCTCCGCGCCCTCCGCACCCTCATCAGCACCCTCACCGCCCTCAGCGCCCTAGCTCAGCGCCCTCAGCGCGCTCCGCGCCCCCTCAGCGCCTCAGCGCCCTCCGCGCCCTTAGCGCCCTCAGCGCCCTCCGCGCCCTCCGCGCCCTCAGCGCCCTCAGCGCCCTATAAGCGCCCTCAGCGCCCTCCGCGCCCTCAGCGCGCGCTCACCCTCCGCGCCCTCAGCATCCCTCCCTCAGCGCGCTCAGCATCCCTCAGCGCCCTCCGCGCCCTCAGCGCCCTCAGCGCCCTCCGCGCCCTCCGCGCCCTCAGCGCCCTCAGCGCTCTGAGCGCCCTGAGCGCCCTCAGCGCCCTCCGCACCGCCTCCGCGCCCTCCGCGCCCTCATCAGCGCCCTCCGCACCCTCAGCGCCCTCAGCGCCCTCAGCGCGCTCCGCGCCCTCAGCGCCCTCCGCGCCCTCAGCGCCCTCAGCGCCCTCCGCGCCCTCCGCGCCCTCAGCGCCCTCAGCGCCCTCCGCGCCCTCAGCGCGCGCTCAGCGCCCTCCGCGCCCTCAGCATCCCTCAGTGCCCTCACCGCCCTCAGCGCCCTCAGCGCCCTCAGCGCGCTCCGCGCCCTCAGCGCCCTCCGCGCCCTCAGCGCCCTCAGCGCCCTCCGTGCCCTCAGCGCCCTCAGCGCCCTCCGCGCCCTCCGCGCCCTCAGCGCCTTCATCGCCCTCAGCGCCCCAGCGCCCTATAAGCGCCCTCAGCGCCCTCCGCGGCGTGCATAGCGCCCTACGCGCCCATCAGCGCCCTCAGCGCCCTCCGCGCCCTCAGCGCCCTCAGCGCCCTCAACGCCCTCAGCGCCCTCCGCGCCCTCAGCGCTCTGAGCGCCCTGCAGCGCCCTCAGCGCCCTCAGCGCCCTCAGCGCCCTCAGCGCCCTCCGCGCCCTCAGCGCCCTCAGCGCCCTCAACGCCCTCAGCGCCCTCCGCGCCCTCAGCGCTCTGAGCGCCCTGAGCGCCCACAGCGCCCTCAGCATCCCTCCGCAGCGCGCTCCGCGCCCTCAGCGCCCTCAGTGCCCTCAGCGCGCCCTCCGCGCGCTCAGCGCTGTCAGTGCCCTGTCCCGGGGACATGTGCTCCGACTTTGGCACAGGATGCGCTCGGCCGGTGAAAATTTCAGCGTCTATTTGACGTGTCTTTCGTGCAAATGTCTTACACTGTTGCAAGCAAGGGCATGTCAAATAGCCTGCAAGTGTCCATCACACGGGGGGGGGGGGGGGTTTGGGGGGGCCGCGGAGCGCGTGACCATATATGGGTATATGCACGTCACACATGATCCCGTGTTCCGGGCTGCTGCTCACCCCCCGCCCTGCCTGCCCTGCATCACTGGCAAAGTTGGATGGTGCGAGATCGGGATCTGCGTGACTGTTTCTGTGCGAGGACAGGCTGTGGATGGCAGAGGGGAACAAGCAAAGGTTGTCATCCTGCTGGAACAGGGTCAGCGGCATAATGCGCACAGGGATAAGGAGAACAGCAATGCTAGCAATATGGTAGCACTCAAAATCAGAAGAATTACGATATCGTGTCACAGGTGCTGAATGGTTTGCTGGAGCTTCGACGAAGGCTCTCTGCCAAGCTTTCAAAACAAAACGACTCGCACTCGTCACATGCCAGCTCTTTAATCGTGACAGGAACACTCCGGGCCGGCATACCATGCTGTGCAAGTTGTTGAAAAGGAATCGCATAAACTTCTATGACGTAATTGTTTACTATGTTCTGTGCTATGCACAAAGAGGCATGCCTTTCTGCACGAAATTAGTCTTCGACACATGTCACGCACGTCTCTAGATTTGCTACTGCCTGCCGCAGCATGACCCTAATAGCCTCGTGTTGTGTTGCTGTTGCCTCACAGTGCATTCCACCAGTAATGTACGGGTACATGCACCTGTGCGTGGAATGATGCTTGCTGCTGCCTGCAAAGCTTAAGCCACTCCATGCTGTGTGAAGTCGACCCAGCCGCATCAAACGCAGCGACACCACATGCCACGCTGCTTTTCAAACAGCACAACGAACGTGGATTGTCGGAGCCCTTCTCCGCATGCAACTGCAGAGGTTTCCGTACCATGCGTTGATCTTCGAACGCCGCATCCCCACATCAGAGCCCAAAATGTGTGTACCGAACATTGATCTCGGAATATCCAATGACGTGCATGCCACAGTCGATGCAGGATCTCGGTCAATGCACGAAGTTGCTGCAAGCCAGAAACATTTGGGGTCCAAACATGGACAGAGCTCAAGCATTGATTGGTATGGGGAGCCGGCATAGCGACC